GAGAGAGAGAGAGGGGGGGGGTGAAGACACAGCAGGGCCAGTGGCAGGGAAAGGAAACTGCATTGTTCCCCACCTAAGTAAGCAGAGGGAGATGCACCAATGTACGAAAGGCGCAGACTCGGCAAGCAGAAACACCACACTAGCCAAGTCCAGTCACCGTGCTTAAAGAGTAAAGTAACCACAGCCAGGAGTCTGCCCTTACGAGCCGGCAGATGGGGCGCCGGAGGGCGGTCATCCTCTTGCCAGGGGCACAAGGGGTCACCATAATCGAATCGGCCATGTGGCGGGTGAGGCTTGGCGTCACCGGCCACACCGATTACACCCCACTGACAGAATAACGGCCGTGACTTCAGGTGGAAAAAGCCCCCAAAGGGGTACTGCTGTTTGGGGAAGGGTGGTGTTCAGACACTATAGTGAACGACAAGGATATCACCACGACGATCACCATGGGACTCCCCGCCTCAGAGGGCTTCCCCGCCCAAAACTGGGTCAAGCTTCTGGCTGCGGTATCCTCAGCCTAACCCGGAGAGGAAGCTCCCAGCCGAAATGGAAAAGAAACGAAGGGATCCAAACGGTGCCCTCTATATGACAGGCACTAGACACACACCACGATGACGTGCCAAGGTCGGACTCGTGACCGTAAACCTTGAGGCATTTGTTCCTGCACGCCCACGTGGAAAAACATGAGCAAATAAAGTAACGTGATACTGCAAGGAAAGGCAGGACAAAAAAAAATAAAATAAAAAAAATCAATAAAAGAAAAAACAAACAGGGTTTCTAAACGTGCGCTAAACGTGCCAGTTCACGAAGCACACTTTCCGAAACGCTATACTTTTGAGCAGTGAAGGAGTACTGAAGTAAAACTGGTGCAGTTCATGCAGGAACTTCTGAAAGATCCCTTATCTCCACTTAGAGCAGAGAAAATGGAAAGGTGAGAGAGGCTGCCAGAACCACAACGCGGGAGCGGCTTGTAAGCCCCAGGTGAGGAGGAGGAGCGGGAGGGAACGCTCCACCTGACCGGAACACAAACGTACTCAAAGACGTTAGACGAGCTCCAAGCCGTCCTCGTGCCCCCAGTTTCCTGACAATGTGCTGCCGCAGATGGCGGAGCATGGCGTTTTCCATACGGCAGGAACGACGGGAGTCTGAATCCTAAAAGGCTTTGCTTACCCCTTCATTTATTTGGCAATTTTTCACCAAAGCAATGCACTAGTCGTTAGCGAAAGCAGAGTCAGGCAGTCCCTGGATCAGCTGCAGTTAAAACTCAGGATCAGCTTCATCCCACAAGCAGGCCAATGTTAAATACGCACGGATAACTTTCAGAATAATCTCAACCAGCGCTGTCATTTATTAACCACTAACACTTTAACCTCGACACCTCCGTGTACTGCTACTGTACATTCTATGCATGTTGTGTGCTATTGTTCACTATTCTGTTATCACTATTTATTGTTCTTCAACGTTATACAGGGAAGCACATGAGCAAGTATTTCATCGCGTGAAGAAATATGAAGTTTTTGAATCCCACTGGTGACGTCACTCGGCCGAAACTGGGACACGAACCGGTGACCTTTGGATCCTAACCCAGGGAGCCACCCCTCGCTTTATGTAGAACAAGACCAGCTCTGCTCAATTACTGACTAGGAATCTTTTATTTTAACCTTAAATAAAACAGGCTGACAGTAAAGGATTATTCAACTACAGATTTATATAAGCTACGCCTAATAAACACCTATAAGCCAAGCCAAAGGGACACTCAAGGTAGAAAAACAGACACAAGTACCCTGAAGTCAGTGATATCCTGAAAGCTGAGAGATCAGAACACAGGCTTGTTCTGGAGATTTCGATCACTGCATGTTACTGTAAGGAAAAGCGATGCAATGATATGGAAATACCAATAACCAATATATTTATGTCTAATATTACCAATAACCGGCTAAGCGTCGAGCTCCAGAAACTCAGCAATGAAACTTGATGTCGTTGATGTTACTTAAGATCCCGTGAGTGTGTGCAGCAGCAACATCACAAAACACAGGCAGTGAGACGACAGCAAAGTGTCACTGACTCGGGAGAGTATAACAATGTCCTAAGAGCTGAACGAGCCGGCGAAGTCCCTCGTCCTCCACTACGGAAAATGGCTGATCGTCTGATGCAATCATCTCCATTATTTTAACAGTTATG